GGGAGGGTGAGACCTTCGACACAGAGGAAGAGAAATATGAGATCACAGAACAGCGCAAGGTTGACCAGAAAGCTGTGGACTCACAAATTCTGCCAAAAATCAACGCTGTTCCTCAGCTCCAGGGCTACCCCCGCTCTCTGTTCACTCTCACCATGGGCTTAATCCTCACAAACTGGTGTTCTGAATTTCTTATAAGAACCCAATTAAATAACTGATATGTTTAAAAAAGAGAGAAAGCGAGAGAGAGCGAGGAGGTGCAATCACCCGTATTCCCTGTGGAGCGCCGGGACAGCGGTGAGCAGCCCGACGGTGACCGCGGTCAGCGGCTTGTCTCCGGAGCTGACAGGACGATGCAAACAGCCCACGACCACGTCAGTCCAGGTCTAAACCCTGACCAGTGTGATCCGTGGCTCTGCCTGCCCTCTTCCCTGAAATGCGAGTGGCGAGTCTGAAGCAGATACTGACACCTTCTGCAGCCCTGGCCAGCGTGGCTCAGTGGTTGGAGCGTCGCTTGCACACCTACGGCTCTTGGGTTCGATTCCTGGTCAAGGGCATGGACCTGGGTTGCAGGTTCGATCCCCGGCCCCAGTCAGGATGCATGTGGAAGGCAACCGATCGATGTGTCTCTCACATCAATGTTTCTCTCTCTCCCCCCCGCCTCTCTCCTCACTCCTTCCCTCTCTCTCTCTCTCTCTCTGAAAACCAATAGAAAAAAACTCCTCACTCCTTCCCACTCTCTCTCTCTCTGAAAACCAATAGAAAAAAATACCCTCAGGTGAGGATTTAAACAAAAACCTGTAATGTTCAATGACCTCGAGTTCAGCGCGTGGGTCAGGGTTAGGTGCAGGCAGGCGCTCAGGAAAGGAAGCGCCAGCCGACACTCACCGGCTCAGCGTGATGGGTGCATCCCTGCTGTTGTCACTTGTCCCCGCTCTGGCAGCCAAGCACAACCGCAGGCCATGCAGCCCGCGACCTCCTTTCAGACCAGGTGGGCCTTGCGACCCAGTGCGGGCTGGCTGTCACTCAGGCCCAGGCCCTTCCACGGCAGCTCAAGGGCGGCCAGAGAAATGGGCCCCGACCCTCCTGGAGTGAGGCCCAGTATGTCTTTCAGGACGACCCAGTGACAGGGCAGGAGGACACTGACCGGGAGCCACCTGTCCACTCCTCCGGGAAGCGGGGGCTTTAAGCTGAGCTCTCCAGCTGCGGGCATCTCGCCTCCTCCCTCTCTTCCTCCTTTATCCTAACGCCCTCTTGTGCCTCCCCAAGGAACTCTAGGAAGGGATGCTGGGTGCCAGCCTGGGCTGGGGGAGGAGGCGTGGGAGGGAGCGGGGGACATTTGTCTCCCTCCAAGCACTAAAGGGAGCCCGGGGTGTTCAGTCCACGTCAGAGGGCGCGAGTGAGGCCCGAGTCAGGGGGCGTGAGGTTCGTGTCAGAGGATATGAGGTCCGTCTCAGGCGAGCGCCTCGCCTGCCCTCCCAGCACCAGGCTCAGTCAGCTGAGAGTCCCGCACGCAGTGACAAGCGCCTGGTGGGGACGCGGGGATGAGGCCTCCATGGAGCGTCATGACCAGGCCTTGGCGGTGGGAGGGAACCCAGTGCGTCCAGGGCCTCGGCCAGCTGGCAGGACCCCGGGGCAGACCTGGGCTCCTGCTCCTTGCCCGGTGCTGTCAGGACTCAGACCCGGGCCCAGAGGCTGAGCCCAGGCCAAGGCCGTGCCAATGACAAGTGCCCGCGCGGCAGAAGGGAGGCCCGGCCGAGAGAGGGCTGCGGGTGAATTAGCTCCTGGGACTCCGAGGAGGAATGAGAACGGAGGCCTTCCCTGGCTTCGCCTCAAAGCAGAGGCTGCACCCCCGACAGATGGGAAACCTCAGCTGGGGAATCCAAGGTCAGCTTCATGCCACGGGGAGGCCAGGGGAGGCCACGGGCACCTCCCTGGGCAGCAGAGCCCACCTGCCAGCCCAGCAGGTGCTCCGTGCTGCCGCCACGCCCTCTGCCCTCCCGCCACCCCTGCGTACCAACCTGTTAGCCGCAGCCCACAGCTCGGAGTCTGAGGAGAAGTCACCTAGGTACACGCTACGAGCACCCTTGAGAGAAAGAGCCTCAGTTTCCCCCGCTGTCCAGTCCCGCTTTCTGAGAAGTACAGGGTGACTGCCCAGCAGACAACCATTGCTCCGTTCCTGACTCTCACAGTAGATGCACAGTAGCCTCAGCCGCCCCGCGGCATCGGGGGAGCAGGCTCTGGGCTAATGTTCAAACCCCGCTTCCCCACGCTAGCTGGAGCACACGGGCAAGTTATTTAACCTCTCTGTGCCTCATCTTCCTCATCTGTGAAATGGGCGGACGACACTGCGTCCAGGGTGGTTGTGAGGCTTTAACGGCTCATCTACGTAAAGCACCTGCAACACTGCCCGGCCCACACAGGGGCTGCGTTACCGCCAGCATCACATCCTTCCCACGCTGCCCTGTGAGCTGCCGTCCAGGGCTTAGAGCCCCTCAGGCCTGCCCAGCGCGGGAGGGGGACGTGGGGGGCTGCTGGGGCGCCACCAGGGCGTGTCAGCGAGCTGGGCTGCTCAGCTGGGCAGCCTGGTTAGTGCAGGGCCCGGCCCAGGAGACAGTGTGAGGGACAGGGCCCAGGTCCCTTCCAGGAGCGGCTCTAAGTGAACCTTACAACCTGCTGTCCCTCTGGTGACAGAGAGCCTCTGCCTCCTCTCCCCAGGGACAGGACAGCTGGCGAAGGCTGCCCCGCAGGCCAACCTGCCCAGGGGGTGTCGGGCCACCTCGGTTTTTCTCTTCCTCCGTCTGACCTCCGCCAAAGTCGCAAGCAGGACTGGGTTTGCCAAGCAACTGTGACAGCAACTCAGACTTGGGCTGATTTCTTTTTTTTTTAATATATTTTTATTGATTTTAAAGAAAGAGGAAGAGAGAAGGAGAGAGAGAAACATCAATGAGAGAGAGAGAGAAACATGGATTGGCTGCCTCCTGCAGGCCCCCTCCTGGGGAATCGAGCCTACAACCCGGGCATGTGCCCCGACTGGGGATCAAACCAGTGACCGCTCAGAGCCTGGGCCAATCTCCGCTTTCCCCCGTATCTCGATGCCTCTCACCAACGTCTTTTCTCAGTCCCAGCACAGGCTCCCAGGTGGGCTCACCTCTGCGGTCTGAGAGCAGAGCTGGGAAAGGCTTGGGCTGTGGTCTCAGGCACAGCCCCCCCATCCTACCCCCAGCCACCAGGCCTGGCCTCCTCACCCCAAGGCCCCCCCAGCAGCCCGCCTGCCCAGCCAGGCTCCAGCCACGCAGGCAGCTCTGAAGCCTCACTCTGCACCCGGAAGCAAATGCACAAACCGGGCAGAACACGCCTGCCGCTTCCTGAGGGGTGAGCACTGTGCCTCAGAGCAGTAGCCATTGGGGGAGGGGAAGGATGAGTGGGCTGGGGATTTCAGGGCCTCCTGGGGCTCTCAGGGCCAGGGTCCCGCACACAGCGATAGGCGCTGCTGTGCTAGAAGCCAGCCGGCCACGCCCCGTCTGGACTGAAGGTCGTTTGGAGGGTCCATCATGCCCAGCGCTGCCCAGCCTGGTCACATCCTCAGCCGGGAGCCCAGCAGAGGGGAGTATTAATAACTCGGCCGTGACAGGCACCGCTGTGAGAAGTCCTCGCAGACGCGAGGAGTGTGAGCCTCCGGGAAGTGTCTCCTTGGCCCGCTCCTGAAACAAGGTCAGGACGCCTGCAGGAGCTGCATCTGCAGCCACGTCCCAGCATCTGCCTGAGGCCAGCAAGCCCACCCTTCGGAAGGAAAGGGGAGCAGCAGGTGGCGGAGGACCAGGCCCAGAGACAGAGTCTGCTTTACTTCCCCTCTGCTCCTGGACCCCGCTGGACCCCAGGCCAGGCGGCTTGGGCCTGCTGTCCTCATTTGCAAAGTGGTGGTGAGAAAGCCTGCCTTCCCCCAGGCAGTAATGCCAGAAATGCTCACGATTAATCACCTTTACTGAGCACTTAGCTCTGGGCTCTGGGCTCACCTGTTATCTCAGTTCTGTCCCTAACTCCATGAGGCAGGCTCCATGATGATCCCATTCCACAGATGGGGACACTGAGGCCGAGAGAGGTTTAAGAGGCCCAAGGTCACAGCAGTTATGTTGTGGAGCCATGGAAATCCATGGTGCACGGCTGTACCTGCGGAGATGAAGCCTTGCTGCGCCCCAGGCCCCGGGGGTGCTGAGTCCCCGACAGCAGGGGCCTGCTCTCTTCCTGGGACTGGGGTCGTGTTCCCCCAGGGAGGCGGCAGCATGACGGAGAAGTTAAAACAGTCTCTGCACTCTGGAAGCCTAGAGTCATGGGAACTTTGATTTTTTTTAAATGTTTGAATATTTAAATGCAATATTTAAATGCAATATTGAATATTTAATGTTTGAATATTTAAATGCAAAAGATACAAAAGTGTATTTACTAATAGAGAAGTTTCCCTCTCAGCCTGTTCCCCGGGAGCAACCACGGTTACTAGTTTCTTGTAACCAATTATTCCAGGAGTAATCGATGCCCGTTTACAGTCTTATTCACTTCTGGTGGCTGGGGGCAGGGGGGCTCTGTGCCCTCCTGGTGGGTGGGGGCAGGGGGCTCTGTGCCCTCCTGGTGGGTG